GGTTTCCAGCCTGGTCTTAGCTGGTCAGGCTGGAAAGTGACCAGCCAAAACTATCTAAAACCAGCTTGACCATCCTGGTTTAGCTGGAATAGCTGGTTTTGGCTGGGCTCCCAGCCTGGCTAGGCTGGTCAAGCTGGTTTTAGCTGGTCATCTCCCAGCATGTCCAGCTAAAACCAGGCTGGAAATGACTGGAAACCAGCCTGGAAGTGGCCAAAACCCCTCTAAAACCAGGCTGGTCGACCAGCTAAAACCAGTCAACCATCCTAGGCTGGTTTAAGCTGGATTTTTCAGCAGGGATTTTTTAAAGATCTATCCATGCAGGCTTACAATGGATAACATCGCCATGAACGCCCATGAGCGACTTCACAGCACAGAGACATATGCAAACAAAGTCACAGGAAGTGCGAACGGGCTCCAGTAATCAAGGTCACACAAACGTAAACACTGCCACACTCCTACACTGAATACGCACCAAACAAAAGCTGAGCCCCAGTCACTGCCATTATGCCCGTGACTTTACATGAAACGGAAGTCTGACTGTGACTTCACACATTAATGCACTGCGTCTACCCCCTACAGCAATCACGCAAGACACCGAGGATAGATCCCTTCGCTTTGTGCCCGGCATGGCTGTTTTGCTACATTGAACCGATTATGTAATCTGCGGCTAGGGAGGCCACTGGCTGTCTCTCTTCGTCGAGTTGTTGTCACAGGGTTGTTCTGCAGGTTTCATAAAGTCAAATTTAAGACCCTTTTTAAGACCATTGTTAATGAAATTTCAGACTTATAAATGAGGCTGAACACTGGATTTTATTTCCAAAGGAAAAGGAAAAATTTTTAACTATCCTCATCAAAGAAAATGCCCAATTTACTTATTTTATTCATTTTCCTTCGACTTAGATCCTTATTTATTAGGGGTCACCACAGAGGAATGAACTGCCAACTATTCCAGCATATGTTTTACACAGCGAGTGCCCTTCCAGCCACGACCCAGTACTGGGAAACACCCATACACCTTCATATTCACACACTAAGGCCAATTTAGCTTACCCAATTCACCTACAGTGCATGTCTTTGGACTATGGGGGAAACCGGAGCACCCGGAGGAAACCCACGGCTTCAAAGGGAGAACATGCAAACTCCACACATTAACAACAACTCGAACCAGAGACCTTCTTGCTGTGAGGTGACAGTGCTAACCACTGAGCCACCATGCATGCCGCCTAATATAGGTATTTCTTAGTCACATATTTTAAATAATGTGTCAAACTCTGGTTTTATAGATGCACTTTTTTATACTTAAAAAAGCTAAATATATGCAACTAAATGTAATTGAATTAAATTTAATACAGTGCTCAGCATATATGCGGACACCCCATTTTGAAAATGAATATTTTTATCCATTTTTCAGTGAATATGGGTAATATATTGATGCATTTGAACAAAACAGATTTATTTTACAGATACATTTATTAAAATAATATTTTAGGCACCGGACATCTTTAGAAATTAAAAGATAATACATTTAAATTCATGCAAGACTACTTAAAAACTACTTACAAACTACAACATTTCAACAAAATTGTATATATTTTTTGCTTCTCTTGATTTTTACTACTTTTGAAAATGTTATTTAATATTTTTTTCCTAACGGAGAAATTTGTGCTACTATGTTTTGAACCGTATTCATAAGTTATTTTGTTAGAAAAGCTTCAGATTCGGCTAAACTAATGTATATGCACAAATATAATATTGTAAAGCTTCCTATAGAAAATATTAATTTAATTGAGAGATTTGTAAGGGGTGTTCTCATACAGTATATGTTGAGCACTGTATTTAAAACTGTCTGTCCAGGTCAGTGTCCTCACCCTAAATAAAAGGAGAACTTTTTAACAAATATTACTGTAAGGAAGCTAATTAAACTATATTGGTAAATAAAGGAGCTGTTAAAGATTTTATTGAGATGGATTGCTAGTGATTAGACGATTTCGGCCTGAACTAACAGCTTTTCATTGACATTGAAAAATAAAGACATTCAAGCCTACAACTTGACAAGGCTTTTTAAGGTAATTATTAATGCAATTTTAGACTTTTATATAGGGCTAAACACTATTAAAAAAATTCCAATGGAAAAGCAAAGATTTTTACTATTATCATAAAAAAAAATCTAATTCATTTATTTCTTAGCCACATATTTCAAATAATTTGGTAAAACAAGCAAACTCTGGTTTTATAGATGCACTTTTTTGAACATAACATGTCTTTTTTAATAAATCCTAAATACATGCAACTAAATGAATTTAATTAAATATATGAAAACCATAAATAAAAGGAGAACTTTTAAACAAATGTTATTGTAAGGAAGATAACTAAACTTTATTGGTAAATATAAGAGCTAAAAAATTAAACTATTTGTTAAATGTTCTATTGAGATGGATTGCTGGTTATTAGACGATTTCAGCCTGAATGAGCAGCTTTTCTTAACCATAGGAAAATTTAAACCTATTTAAAATGTTTTAAGGCCTACAACATAATATTTTAATAAATTTAAGACTTTTTAAGACCATAATTAATGAATTTTCAGACATTTATATGGGGGTAAACTCTATAAAAAGAAATTTCTAATGGAAAATGAAAAGATTTTTACTATCATCCTCAAAAAAAAAAATCTAATCTATTTATTTCTTAGCCACATATTTCAAATAATTTGTTAAAACAAGCAAACTCTGGTTTTATAGATGCACTTTTTTAACATGTAACATGTCTTTTTTTAAATAAAACCTAAATATATGTAACTAAATAATTTGAATTAAATATATAAAAAACATAAATAAAACAAGAACTTTTAATTGTATTGTAAGGAAGATAACTAAACTTTATTGGTAAATATAAGAGCTAAAAATTAAACTATTTGTTAAATGTTCTATTGAGATGGGTTGCTGGTGATTAGACGATTTCAGCCTGAATGAGCAGCTTTTGTTGTACACAGGAAAATGAACACCTATTTAAATATTTTGATAAATTTAAGACTTTTAACGACTTTTTAACGACTTTTAACGACTATTATTAATGGAATTTCAGACTTTTATAGGGGGGCTAAACACTATAAAAAATCTAATGGATAATGAAAAGATTTTTACTCTCATCATCATCATCATCAAAAAAAAAAAATCTTATTTATTTATTTCTCAGCCACATGTTTCAAATAATTTGTCAAAACAGGCAAACCCTCGATTTACAGATGCACTTTTTCACTTTTTAAAAGAAACAGCTTTTAATGCAACTAAATAAATAAAATTAAATATATAAAACTGTCTGTCCAGGTTATTATTCTCACCATAAATAAATGGTGAGAAGCTTATGGACATAGACAAATTAAGACCTTTTTAAAATGTTTTAAGTCCTACAACTAAAAATTTTGTCAAAATTAAAACTTTCAAAGGTGTACAATTTAGCTTTAGCAATTTAATACATTTAGGACCCCGAGGACCCCTGAAAAAAAATTGCTAAATTGTTGCAAAGAATTTACACAGCAGGCTAAATTTAAACAAACAAAATGTAGTAATGTTCAACTTTGTTTTTATTTTTTTTAATTTAGCCCAGATAAATTGTTTACAAGCACTTAGCTTGAAGAAAATTTGTAAATCCAATGAATATATATATATTTTTTTTCAGTGTGTGTCAGTTAAACCAGAAATAAGATATGTAGGTAAACAAAATAAAAATTACCAAAACGCCTTCTCCGTCACTTCTGGCAGCTGCTGCGGCAGCGGCGGCGCGTGCAATGTTGGCTCGCCGTAGTTCCTTATTGGCCTGCAAGGTGGAGAAATAGTTGACGGCAGCAAACTCGATGAGGGCAGAGAAGACAAACGCGAAGCAGACGGCGATGAACCAGTCCATGGCGGTGGCGTAGGAGACTTTTGGTAATGAGTGACGGGCGCTAATGCTCAGCGTGGTCATGGTCAGCACTGTGGTGATGCCTGTTGGGAATACAACAAAAAGAGAGCGAGGGGAAAATAGTAAGCTTGACTGATCCTGAAAGTTCTTGCTAAAGATGTCTTTTCTGTGTTTTGGTAACCTCAATTCATACTAATAAGTCGTTAGTTGTGTCTCAAATGGCACACTACACACTTTCAGTATACACTCAACAATGTACAGTGGAGTTTAGTGTCATCCCAAATGTGACACTAATATTTTTTACAAAACAGACACTCAAATCATTTCCCAGGCAACATTTAAAGGTTCACGAAACCCTTAAGTACTTTTTTTTTTTTTTGGAGATTTTAACAGATTTGAGTGTGTTGAGCATCAGTTAAGACAATGTTAGCACCTGTCAGCTTTAATTGTGAGGTAAACTGGATAATTTTGAGCTTTTGTCAGCTAATTGCAGCTTCCGGGTTTAAAATGATTTTTGAGGCGGGATCAAAACCGTTGACGTAGCGCAAACTGCAAGTGCAAAGATGACGCGTCGGTTTCTCATTAATTTTCATAGCGGAGTTTTTTATACTATGAGAAGAGCCGGCTTCTTAATTATTCATGACTGCGCGTACTTTACAAAGGCAAGGCAGACCTGCCAGTGCCAAGCTCAGCTGTGAGATTCTACCTTGATGACTGGGTGAAACCGCGTCCACTTGGACTATTTTTAGCTGCCGCATATGATTATGTGTATAATAAATTATCGAAATTGTTTTTGATGCTAATGGTCTAATCCGATTTAATAATCTATGCTAAGCTAAGCTAAAAGTGCTTAATATTATGCAGTGCTGTTTCCTAGTTGCCTAACTGGGGACTGTTTTCAGATGCTGCGCATGATTATATAGTATGTACTATAACTTAGCAAAATTGTTTTCGATGCTAATGGTCTAATCCAATTAAATGATCTATGCTAAGCTAAAAATGCACTATATTACGTGGCATTGTTACTTAGTTGGGACTATTTTCAGCTGCTGCTTATGATTATATGTATTTTAATTAACAAAATTTTTTTTGATGCTAATGGTCTGATCTGATTCAATGATCTATGCTAAGCAAGGCTAAAAGTGCTTGATATTATGCAGCGCTGTTACCTGTGTAGCTAGCTGGAGACTATTGTCAGGTACTGCATATAATTGTGTGTAATATAAATTATTTAAATTGTTTTGGATGCTAATGGTCTAATCTGATTTAGTGATCTATGCTAAGCTAAGCTTAGCTAAAAGTGCTTAATACTATGCAGCGTTGTTACCTAGTTGCCTATCTAGGGAATTTTTCAGGTGCTGTCCATGATTATACAGTACATATTAAAAATTATCGAAAATGTTTTTGATGCTAATGGTCTAATCCAATTGAATGATCTACGCTAAGCTAAAAGTGCTTTATATTACGCAGCATTGTTACCTAGTTATATTATATGATTATATGTATTTTAATTATAAAATAGTTTTTGATGCTAATGGTCTAATCTGATTCAATGATCTATGCTAAGCTAAGCTAAAAGTGCTTGATTTTACGCAGCGTTGTTACCTAATTGCCTAGCTGGGGACTATTTTCAGGTGCTGCATTTGATTATTTGTATTATAAATTATCATAACTGTTTTTGATGCTAATGGTCTAATGCAGTTCAATGATCTATGCTAAGCTAATCTAAAAGTGCTTGATATTACGCAGCACTGTTGCCTAGCTGGGGACTATTTTCAGCTGCTGCACATGATTCTATGTATTGTAATTATCAAAATTGTTTTTGATGCTAATGGTCTAATCGGATTCAATGATCTATGCTAAGCTAAGCTAACATTTATCCTATCAAACCTGGAAATCAGCTAAATGGATGCAAAAATGGTAAAATTCAACAGTTTAACTGTAGGGGAACTGCGAAATAAGCCTTTTCTTAAAGATGTAGTGTGTTTCTTTAAGCTATTTGAAACATAAACACTGTTTTAAAGTATATCCAGTCTAGTTTTATTCCATGAAGGGCCCCGGTGTCTCTTATGTTGCCGGTCAGGTCATGCCTATACAGTATATGGATGTAATTTTGTTCTCAGTTCGCTTTCTTATGTCTCCAGTACTAGTGTTGTTATTATTAGTAAACGATAATGCATTCGGATCCATGTTTCTGAGCTGAGCACTGTGACAAGAACCACCATAAAATGGCTGATGGTAAAGCGAGGGGGTGGGGGGCAGCGTTCAGTTATTTCATAATGTATCATAGAGCCCCATGGTTCGCTGGTGCGTGCTGGTTCTATTGAATAGGTCATTTACTCAGAGCTCTGCATGAACTCCCATGGAATAGCTCCAGGATAAATAATAGCCATTAGTTGAGTAAGGACTGAAAAGCCTCTGAGATTCAAAGTGATTTGTCCGAAAGATGACAGATAACATTATTTAACACGCTTTGCAGTGTTTTATATATCTAAATCCTTGCTTCTCTTTCATAAGTGTTGTGTTAGATAATAAAGTATATTTATAGAATGTATCCCCAAAGGAACAGAGTTTTTTATGGGGAAGAATGGCCTTGCTATATTTCATTTGCTTCATTTTTCCTTAATGTTTGGAACAATGCAAGAACAAGAACTCTTTTGTTAGTATCTTATTTTCTTCCTCATGCATCAACATATTAGTAGTACTGACAATTTAATTTGTGTGTGTGTGTGTATATACAGTTGAAGTCAGAATTATTAGCCACCTTCAATTTTTTTTCTTCTTCTTTTTCTTCTTCTTTTTAAAATATTTTTCCAAATGATGTTTAACAGAGCAAGGGAATTTTCACAGTATGTCTGATAATATTCTTTCTTCTGGAGAAAGTCTTATTTGTTTTATTTCGGCTGGAATAAAAGCAGTTTTAATTTTTTAAACATCATTTTAGGGACAATATTATTAGCCCTTTTAAGCTATTTTTTTTCTCGATAATCTACAGAACAAACCATCATTATACAATAACTTGCCTAATTACCCTAACTCGCCTAGTTACCCTAATTAACCTAGTTAAGCCTTTAAATGTCACTTTAAGCTGTATAGAAGTGTCTTAAAAAATATCTGGTAAAATATTATTTACTGTCATCATGGCAAAGATAAAGTAAATCCATTATTAGAAATTAGTTATTAAAACTATTATGTTTAGAAATGTGTTGAAGAAATCTGCTCTCCATTAAATAGAAATTGGGGAAAAAATAAACAAGCGGTCTAATAATTCAGGGGGGCTAATAATTCTGACTTCAAATATTATATTGTGGAATATAGAGAAAGTTGCTTAAATCTTGGGCTTGACCATCTATATAATTATAGATATGCGAGATATTCTTCAAGCTTGGATGACTGTTGGAATACAGCTACTGAAAAGTACCAGCTTTTAAAGTTATATGAGAACGAGGGTTGCACAATAATAGAACAATATGTGACATTGTTAAGTATTATTGTTTTTTTATTTATTTATTTATTTATTTTTTTTATTTCCCAAATAATGTTTAGTTGCAAAAAAATTTTCACAGTATGTCTGAAAGTATTTTTATCTTCTGGAAAAAGTCTTATTTGTTTTATTTTGGCTAGAATAAAAGCAGTTTTTTATTAATATTTTTTAAATTTAATTTATTATTATTGTTTTTTTACCATTTTAAGGTCATTATTTTTAGAGCCTTTAAGCTATATTTTTTTCTAGATAGTCTACAGCGGTGGTTCTCAAACTTTTTTCATCAAGTGCCACCTCAGAAAAAAAATGGTCTCTCCAAGTACCACCCTAATGAGCAGTATTGAAATACAGTAGCTTAATAAGCCCAGTAAAGCAGCTACAGCTCTGCACAGTTCTAAAACGTGGTCGATTAATTTCTATTTTTAAGAATGTTTATTATTATCCATCATTTTAAACATTAAATAGTCTAAACGTTAACACTGTACCGTGCTTATAAAAAACAAGCAAACCAAAAACTAAAAATGTCAAAATTGAAATTAAAATGGGCTTTTAAAAGTTAAAAATGGTAGGTTAATGATCTTAAAAAGTATAAAGAAAAGTGCGGTACTTAAATGTAAAGTATTAACATACAGTAGCCAATTCATCAACATCTCGAAATGTTGCCTGGACCTCAGAAATATAGGCTCTGTGTCATAAAATAGATAATATTATATGCCATATTCATATATAAATCATTTTTGATCAATTTAGAAATATATGTAGCATGTACTTATGAGACATTTGAAATCTACGCGTTCAACTAAAAGGAAGCCCGCATACCACTAGTGGTACAGGTACCACAGTTTGAGAACCACTGGTGTACAGAACAAACCACTGTTATACAATAACTCGCCTAATTACCCTAACCTGCCTAGTTAACCTAATTAACCCAGTTAAGCCTTTAAATGTCACTTTAAGCTGTATAGAAGTGTCTTGAAAAATATCTAGTCAAATATTATTTACTGTCATCATGGCAAAGATAAAATAAATCAGTTATTAGAGATGAGTTATTAAAACTATCATGTTTAGAAATGTGTTGAAAAAAATCTGCTCTCCGTTAAACAGAAATTAGGAAAAAAATAAACAGGACGGCTAATAATTCAGGGGGGCTAATACTTCTGACTTTAACTGTATGTGGATGGATGATGGATGGATGGATTTTGTTTTGAAACTGAAATGTAGTTATTGCAGAAAAAAAGTTTAATTTGTAAAAAAAAAAAAAAAAGTGCAGCATGTGAGAAAAATGAAAGGGCACTTGTTCACCTTAATTTTGTCTCAAATCATTTTGTAAAAAAATCGTGACAAAATCATGTATCGTGAGATTGGTATCGTAAATTGTACTGCATTGTGAGTCAGAGGAATCGTTATGTCCCTATTAGTTCCACATACTTTGGGCTCTTTCTTGTACTTCCAGAGACTTCTACAAACTCTCCACATATAGGGTATATGCCGAGCTAGTGTTTTTCCGATACTGATAAACTTCCGGTGACCTGTTATTGTGAACTTTTTTTCCATTGTATACGGTTCCTTTTACAGCATCGATGTTGTAATGTCATTAAA